ATATATATATATATATATACACACAAAATATATATTTTTATATATTTACACAACATATATATATATATATCTAATATTAAGAAAGATAGTTTCTGATTTAAAGAAAAGTTACACTTTGATCGTAAAACGTAAAAGGCTAGAACGTAATCACTCCATATAATTTTATTCGACAAAGTATTATTTTTCCTATTTGTTATTTAATATTTCAGAGATTAAAACTGTGCTATGGGAGGGATAATTATATGCATCTATTCGCATTGAGCTAAAGCGATCAGAAAGATTAGGTCATTACGAAGCAGTTATGCTATCTACATTATTCTCGGTTAATCGTTCAACTTAAGGAAGCATATATTATCGTAAATCGAGTTTTTGCTTACCTTCTCTAATTCCTTGAGACTAGCTGGCGAAACATCGGAGTGTCTTCGAATTTCCGGACTTCTCGGTGGGGCCAATCCACTTCCTAGTGTCCCTATCTGACTTCCGGTGGGACCAAGTCGGGCGTCACTGTGTCTCCTGTGAAGAGCCTCCAAGCACGGCACATCTAGCATCGAATCTGTGGATTCTTGTGTCACTATCGGTTGGTCCCTCGAGGCGATCTTTCGACGGCAAACGCTACATGTCCAGGAAGACTGTAACATTTCCAGACAAAAAAAAGTCAACGCTTGTCCATGTTTACTGGTTTACTGGTGATAAGTTTGCATTTAATATTGCATGTACAATACTCCCTAATTATGTTTAGTTTTAAAGACTAAACTATTATTTCGTGTTTGATTGGTTTGATCATTAGCACTATATTCAAATTTACAATAAAATTAAACTAATGATGGAATTTGATCACACACAAATTAAAGTGAGTGTAATATGGAAGCATAATGTATGAAAGAAAATACAAACATTTAACTTATCCCAATTTAAAAAATCATATTAATCCGTAATTTCTAAAATGTTTTATTACAAATCTGAAAAGCGTATATGCAATTTTCCATTTTAGAATGTTATGCATTATTTTTACTTCGACAAACGTCAATACGAATGCAGCAAACATACAAATATTATTAACTTTTGTAAATGTTACTGGTTACTGTGTAAATTTAATGTGTAATTTAATATATAATATTTTGTATTAAACTCGTATTAAACTTGATTTATTTTTTATTTTACTTATAATATGCGAAGTTAATGATGGAATTTGAACATGAAAGCATTTTCTCTTTTTGTATATACTATTACCACGGGGCGTCAAAAATAGCGAATAAAGCGCGAATTCAAATCTCGAAATTTACTAAATGCGCGCATTTCCATCGTATTCACACGTACACCTGATTTTTCTATACAATATTCCGTTTAGTCAAATGTAGAAGAGAATGTATATTTTAATGAATTTAGGTTACCACGGAAATATCTCGTGTGCTAGAAACGAATAGAAATGCGGAATGAATAGATTCAGAATGATTACGCACATTCTACCGAATTTGGGTTGCCCGCAGGAATGTCGTGCAAGGGCATGCCATCCATTATAATCCGGCGCAAGATTAAATCTCATGCGATCGGCTGCGCGTATTTACCGAATTTATCAATTACGTGTGTAATTAGAATTAACGCCCGATCGACATCATGCATGCGTATCAACGAGCGAAGGGCAAACAAAATCGCCATTAAACCAATTAATCTTTGGTGCGATTAAACACGGAGTGAATTCATGCGAATCGCGAATAAATTTCCGTTAGATCCTCACGTTTATAATGATATAGTACGGAAGTTTAAAAAGTTTAAAAAGTTAGAGTCACAAAAATACCGATCACTTTTTGCTTTTTTTCTCGTGGATTTAATTATAAACATGAAATGATGATCCGGGCGAAAAGTACATTTAATTGTCTTAGGCATTTTGAAAAGAAAAACTTTGAATAGTTAAAGAATGAAAGCTCAAATCATTTCTTCTTACAGTAATTTTCTACGGAAACTTTATTGCCTATGGGTACGACAGGCAAAGATTCTCTCTTAATGATAAAGTCAAGAAAGATAGCGAAAATGAAAGTAAGCAACAAAACTGTATGTGTTTGAGTTGATGTTAATCTTGGCATTATAAGACTCCATTCGTTCTTGCTATCGTAAATTTTCGACTTTTCTTGTCTCTATCTATCGACAATTAACTGTCTCTTTTGCATGCGAATATAAATAATCCTCATTCTTAGAATATTTCTGCAAATTCTTTTATGAAACGAACACACATTTCTTATTTTTAAACCAATTCTAATTTTCCATTTTTTTTTATTTATATTTTTTCATATCATTTCTTTTTTTGTTTCATATTTCCTATTATATTTTTATTTTAATTTAATTTTCTTATTTCTATACGATATTTTATTTCCTGCCTCGATTATAGATAACACACGTAATGTAAAACGATTAATGTGGCTTTACATTTACATAAAATGTAAATTACACAAAACGCTTATAGATATATTTCGTTAAACAAAATATGACAAGTTAACTATAAACACACACACAACACACATACAACACACACACACACACACACACACACACACACACACACACTTTATTGCTTATTAATAACTAATAAAATAAACTGGTCGTTTAACAATGAAAAGGAAAATCAAATAAAAATCGCAAGCGACATCATTATCATTAAAGTGAAATGTCAAAAGAAAACAACCGGTTCCAATTATTTATAACAAATAAGTTAAAAAAATAAATATTTAAGAAAAGTAACGGTAAAATGTCACGCTTAATTATAATATTATCCTCAAAATTAGATTTCCACAAGCTTTCGTTTTTCTTTTTGTTTTTCATGTTTTTCTTTCGTCCTTTTCGTCTTTTTCGCAATTAATTTGCATCTGAATGCCACCCAATTTCGTTTTACGGTAATATTTACCAGCGGACAATGAATAAGCCGATTAATTAAAAATGGAAGCGCGCGCGCGCGCGCGCGCACGCACGCACGCACGCACGCACGCACGCACACACACACACACACACACACACACACACACACACACACACACACACACACACACATACACTCACCAAATCGTCGGAATTCGTTGTCGTCGAATACGAGGCACAGTCCTCGCAGACTTTATGTTGACACTCGCAACAAATTCGTGAGACTTCCTCGGGGCTGAACGACTTCCGGCATATTCTGCAGTCGTCTCCACTGCTTATCTTGCCGCCCGCTTCTGATTTTCTGGAACATCGAACCCGATAAATTTTAGACGTTCTTATTCGATACAACAATCTTTCCGAATGTGTTCTCTATTATCAAAATTATTGTCAAACATCCATTATTGAGACAAATTGTCAAGCATTGAGACAAATATCAAGAAATCAAGAATTAATATCAAGAATTAATTACATACACATCTTCGATAATGTTATATATAAAGTATACTTTTTTAACAATGAAAAGTAAAGGACGTGATAATAATTATGATAATAATTTTATGATAATGATAACTACATATAAAAATATTGAAATATTTTATTCGATTAGAAAAGAATATTCTCTTTATATACATTTGAGTAACTTGCGTTTGCATAATATAAAAAGAAAGAATTTATCATTAAATTAATGGTTTTTTTATTATTACACAAAAATAAGAATAATTGAAACTTTTTACACACAATAATTGCAACACATTGTAAAATTTACGATGTAACAAAATTATTAATAATCTTTTTCTTATTGCACACGTGCGCTAAGAAAAATGTCTAATTGAAAATGTGTGAACAAACCAGAAGATTTTGATTATATTAATTAGAATTCTGATTATTTCAACTAGAATTTAATATATTTAACCAGAAAATTGATTTGTACATTTTAATCAGAATTCCAATTATTCAACCAGACATTTTTCTCAGTGTGTATTTCTCTTTTTCTATAAAAAAAATGTATTTTCTAAGACTGTAAAAATAAATTTAAGTTGTAAAAAAATCATTATTAGAAAACTCCTAATTATTGAATTTGATAGCTATGTTCATTCGTAAAACGGCATGTTCGTTACTTAAACAAACTGGACTACCTAACTGATCAACGAGAAATCAATCTATGGTCCTTAATGGACATGTCGTATTAAATATCGCTCAGCTGGATGCACAAGCAAACTGAGCAAACGATGGAAATAAGGATGGGTCGCGCTTGTTTAAATTGATAGTGAACTTCATGGTTCGTCTTCCGGATAATGTCCGCTGCAGTGCGTTTCACCGACGAGTAAATCTTTACTCGTACGAGACAGTGTAGCACGAGAATTAATAGTTAGACGAAATGTTTTCGATTAAATTGTAAATTGCGAAATAATGGCTAAAAACTTTTTACGTGAATATTGAGACTGTTAGTGAAAGTTTATTAGAGAATGCCGTCATTATTACAATAAAGGAATAGTTATTTTAATTAATGAGATATTAATATAATATTATAAATGTGAAAAAGAAGAGAAAATATTAAATTAAACTATAAAAACAAATTTAAGATATAAATTTTAATAGTCTTGAAGTATAAAAATATTCTTATAAATATATAATTTTACAATTAAAAAGCTACATTTTTAAGTTACAGAATTTATAGAGTACAATTGGATGTAACTAAATTTTGATAGTTATATATTTAAAAAAAAATTTTTTTTTAATTATTGAACAAAAAAATTTTTTAGCATAAGATTAATATAGTACAGTTGCAAGTTACTTTTGCCAAGGATTAATTATTTTCAAAAGTTAAATAATTTGAAATAGAATGTAGTTTGCAGTATAACCTTTGGGAAATAAAAACTTTTATATGAAAAATCACAAAAATATCGGAATTTCTATTAATTAAAACTGTTCATTTTTTTTCATTATTGTTATTCGCAAAATTGCATTCACAATTAAGTTGATATTATTTAAGTTTGTTGGTGTCAATGATAAGTGTACACTTTGATATATGTAAAAGTGATTAAATTCAAGTTCGAGATACTCAAATTTAATGAGACATTCGCGGAAATTTTAAATAAATTACTGAGCGCAACGCTTTTATGTATATGATACAGTAATACTGTATTTAAACTATTGATAATTAATTTTGGTAATGTAATATTTAAATCATGTGATACATACGATATGATAATATCATTACCGATATGAAGTATTTATTAAAAAAATTGATCGAAATTAAACAAAAGCAAATAAATCTTGTATAATTTATACAATTGCAATCAAATAATACATAAATTAATGTTTCGGAGAGCATAGTAATATGATAATTGACATGTTATTGTAATA